AAGATTTTTTAAGGTAAGAATGTAAGAAGGTAAGAATGTTGTTGGGCAAGAACTACCAGAGTTCTTACCCTCTCCTCCATACTGCCTCTCCTCTATATGTGATTCAGCTCAAATATCATCTTCTGTGGAAACTTTCCCTTACCACCTAGTCTGAGTTCAATGTTTCTCCTCTGTACCCCAAGACACCCCACATGTACCTTCATCATAGCATTCATCACACTGTCCTATATAACTTGGTATCTATTCCCATTATTCCGTAAGTTCCTTGAGAACAGGAACTTTGACTCAGTCTTATTTTTCTTTGTATCCTCAGTGCCCAGCACATGGCAAAATTCAAATAACTTTTATGGATGAATGGACAGACAGATGTACAGACGGATGGATGGATAACGTGAGCTACAGCATTAGCAATTCATTTTCAGATAATCCAGCAGGTGGCAGAAGAGGGCAATAGCTGAACAGAAGATGGGCTGCCTCACCTTTCACACTGGTCACTTTCTTCATGATGGTTTCCTGACCTTGGCGCAGGGTCACGGTCACTGCGGCTCCAGGTGTACCGAAGCCCCATATCACTGCTCCAGCAGGCTCCTTCTGCAGCACCATATCATTATTGATGTATGAAGCAAAGCGAAAACCAATACCTAAAAAATTTAGCAAACACTGAGGGGAGCATCACTGGAGAGATACAGCACCAACTGGATCAAGTGAAACAGCAAAGAACATACAGTCTTTATGCACGAGAATTTTAACATACTAAGTCCCTTTAATCGTCTAAAACTAGATCTTCTTCCTCCTAATTAGGCAAGCAACATAACAAGAACAGTTTCCAACAGATGCATCATAGTACACGATGACCACTAAGGGAAACTCCCAGAGCCCAAAGCAACCAACAGACCATAGTCTTCCCTCCCCTTCAGAGCTCTTGATCTGTCTTTGTTCTCAGGCCTGGCCCTAATGCTGGGCTCTCTCCCGCTAAATCATTAAAATGCTCCTTTCATACACCCGATAGATGGTGTTTATGAGAAAAATAAACCACTTCCTTTCCCTGTTTTCCATTACCACGCCCACTCCTAATGGCTGGGAATAAAGCAGCACGCCTCTCTCCAAACAGCCTTCCCTAATCTTTTTCCCCTTCTCTATCTCCCCTTTTCCATGGCACTAATGCCAATTTCCTTCAAATACTGCCCCTTATCACAGTTTTTTGACAAACCAGTGTACTGCATCAAAAATTCTAAATAAGCCCTTATAAATATTCATGACAAGTCAGCGTCCTTCTCAGGTAAATTCAAATAAATCAAGACACATAAATAAGGTCAGTGAGAGACAGAAGGTCAACATGTCTGAACAAAAGTCTTCTGTCACAATTTTACCCATTCCACAAGCTAAATTATACTAAAAGGACAAGATAAAGCACACTAGAAACTGGATTCTATTCTAGAGAGTCACTAACAAGACTGAATAAGAACTCGCTTTAACGAGATCGTTCCTATTTTTAACATCCAGCCTATATAGAAGTATTTTATTAATAACAAACATCCATCCAAATTATCTCAGCGTGTTCCTCATCAAAACTTAACAAGGAAAAAAATAAAACAAATTATATCCCAATGTATCTGAATAAAACAGACCCCAAATTACCTAAAAGATAATAATTAACAAAATTAAGATCTTTTTAAGCATTTTAAACAAAAATGATAGGCAGAAAAGAGAATCAGAATTAACAAGGCTGACATTTTCCTCCCTGGAAGCTACAAATGATGAGGGCCCCTTCGGCTATACTTAACAGGGCAGCACAGCTAATGGAGTCGCCTACACAGCTCCGTGGCCTATTTATCCTGCTCTTGGAATAACAGGCAAGTCACTAAAAATCTTCAGCTCTCTCTTATGAGCTATATATGATTCAGCTCAAATATCATGAAACCTACTGTGATCATGAAACCTACATGACAATGAAAGATCACCCAGAAGGCCTACTGGGTTGGAGATGCACAGCTACCATGAGCAAAATGCTCTAAGAAAAGAATACAACGCCCCAGAATTGCATAAGCAGGTTGGCAGCCTGCTGGGGGGAAGGGGGAGGCACATGTGTGGGAGGGCCTTGTCTTGGGTAGGTGCTTCATATGGAACCAAAAAAAGGAAAACCACAGACATAAATAAGAGCTAAGTAGAGAGAGGGTGGGGGTAGGGGAATGGCTGCAGCTTGCACATTTGTGTGCAGTCAGTAGCCCATAGGCTAGGGGAAATACCTTTCCAAGTCTGTCTGTTTTCAGCAATATACACTTAATGAACATCTTTGTGAATGACTCTGTGCTGGGCTAAAGAGTTTTAGAGGTGGAAAGGATCTTCATAATCATAGTATAAACATGTTACTTACTGATCAAGAAGTATAATCATATTACTGATCAAGAAACTGAGACCAAAGGCAGATTAAACAATTTTTTTAAATAGTTTGCATGTTCATTAGTTAATTCAACAAATATTTATTGATACCTACTATTTTAAGCACTGGGAATATAACGATGACAAAATAATAATAATAACAACAGACAAAAATCCTTGCCCGGAGGGAGCTTCCACTCTACTAGAGACTTTACCTGTGGCAGGCACAGTGCTAAACATACCACAAACATTAATGTCCCTTGGTCTCAAATAACATAGTTTATGACAAAGTTAGAAAACAAGTCACTTGATTCCAAACTTGAAATTCCCTTTTTGCCAAAGTTAGATACTTGCGGCAAACCAAAGAAAAAATCATATTCCTTGTCTTTGTAAAGTTTAAATTCCAAGCTCATTAGAGTAGACAGTGGAACATCAAGGAATTGTACAATGGACAAAAAAAAGAGAGAGAATGAGAAAGAGAGCAAGGCTAGTCATTCCTTGTGTCAAACACAAGACACGTACATTTAACATTTGATTTTGTTTGTTTGTTTGTTTGTTTGTTTGAGACAGAGTCTTGCTCTGTCACCCAGGCTGGAGTGCAGTGGTGCGATCTCAGCTCACTGCAACCTCCGCCTCCAGGGTTCAAGTGATTCTCCTGCCTCAGCCTCCCGAGTAGCTGGGATTACAGGCATGTGCCACCACACATGGTTAATTTTTTTTTTGTATCTTTAGTAGAGATGGGGTTTCACCATGTTGGCCAGGCTGGTCTCGAACTCCTGACCTCATGATCCGCCTGCTTTGGCCTCCCAAAGTGCTGGGATTACAGGTGTGAGCCACCATTCCTGGCCAATTTTTCTGTATTTTTAGTAGAGATGGGGTTTTGCCATGTTGGCCAGGCTGGTCTTGAACTTTCGACTCTAAGTGATCTGCCCACCTCAGCCTCCCAAAGTGCTGGGATTAAAGGTGTGAGCCAACATTTGGATTTTTTAGGTCTTCAGTTTTTTCCTTCATTTGGGGCTGGAGTAGAAAAACAGGAATGAGTGTTATGGGGAAAAGACCATCATTAAAAGTGGAATAACACAATTAGGACAGTGGTTGCCTCTGGTGAGGAGTTCCGGAGGCACTGACAAGGAGCACAATGCCAGGCTCAATAGACTGGCAGTGTTCTAGTTCTAAGTTGGGTGCTGCTCTCATGGGTGTTCATTTTATTGTGTTATTGCTACATATAATTTTGTACATCTCAAGTATTACATGGTAAACATGGGCACAGGGAGAATGATTTAAAAGAAAAATGTCAGAATATGCAACCAAGTAGAGTACTAATGAATGAAAAATGTGATCAATGTTAATGAAGGTGATGTAACAATACGACCCAAAGGAGGATAAAATACTGACACTAAAATAAACAGCCTTTAACTGAAAATCTAATAAAATATCTTCTCCCTACCTCATAAGATGGATCTCAAAGGTCACTGAGTAGAGATAAGAGTCAGGAAATGGCATACAGAGTGCTAGCATTTTGCACTTTTGTTAGACTCTAAACAATCATTTATGGCCTGCAGTTTGTCTGAATCTAGGTACTTTTCCGGCTGTCAGGTAGAGCAGCGTTCATTTTTCTGCACGCTGTTCTCCTGCCCAAACTTTCATTTCTTAACAGGGATCGCTGGGGTCCACGCTTTGAGAGTTTTTAAAAAGAAAGGAAGAAATCCAACATTATTATCACTTTAGTTTGCATTATCAGACAGATTGTACCTTCTGCTTTCTCCGTACTGTGACCCAGTATCCAGCCTAGGGTATTCGAATGGCAAGATCAAGATCTGACCTGCACAACAGCCAAAGCGAGCCAGCAGCCTCCCTTATGCCACTCACATTATCTCACCACCAATATCTGTAAGCTGCACCAGAAATCAAAACTGAGCCTTAAATAGTCTGAGCTAGTGAGGGGGTTGTATTTCTTAGCCCTAATAACCACTTAAACGAGTAAAATTTAATTCCCCTAAGGAACCCCGCCTGAAGCAAACCCTCCCCAAGGGCACCACTGAGGGGGTAGCGCTGAAATGTTTTGGAAGATTCAGTCACCTGTTTCCAAATATTATCTAACTCGCTTCCCCTCCTTTCCTCCGAGCTCCCCTGCAGTTACTCCAGGACCCCGAAAGCCTCTTTCTGGGCACATTTGGGCCTCCCCACTGAGACAAACCGCACTTTCTTCCTGCGCACAGGCTGCCTGTTAGGAATGGTGAGTGGGGATGGAGAAAGTGGAGAGACCGGGGGCCAACCCAGCAGACCCCTGCAGACCGGGCCTAGGTCGGAGACGCGAGCACCTAGCCTAGCTAGGTTCCTTCGTCGACCTTGAGAAAGGGGCGCGGATCCGTATCCCCCAGGGGACACGGGGTCTCGGAGCCCGCACAGGCTGAGGGGCAGGGGTCCGGCCGAGCCGGGCCGCCTCACCTGCACTTCGGTCGGCCCACAGGATTAATGGCAGCACCAGCCCGAGTACAAGCCCCGGCGCCACCATGCTTGCAAGGATCCGCCCGCCGCTCGGGACTGGGAAGGTGGGCTCCCGGCGGGGGCGGGGCCTGGGCAGGGGCGGGGCCTGGGCGGGGGTGAGGCCGGCTCCACCCTTTTGCAGTCCTCGGAGCCTCCCGCGACCTCAGGACTGGGTCGTGCGCTCCCCTTCTCGGCCGCCGTAGTTTTGTTTTTTTTTTTTTTAAAGTAAAAACGGTTACCCAGCAACGAGAAAAACAACCGGAACCGGCGGCACCTGCTTGGAGAGAAAGGAGGTGAGGCCGCTTCCCCACTTCCTCTCTGACACCGAGACCTAGCCTTTTCCCTTCGTCTCTTGTACTCTCTCTGCATCCCAGACACATCCTCGGAGCCCTGGGCCGTTTGGAGCCGAGGCAGCCCATTCTGCACGAATCTGAAATCCCAGGTCCTCAACGTCTGCCCCCGCGCCCGCCCTCCTCTGCCCACATTGGTTCAGAATCTCGCCAGCCCTTTTCACCACCCTAGAATGGTTCGATACCTCTATCTACTGCTCCCTCAGAAAAAGCAAAAGAGAGGAGTCAGGCGTGGTGGCGCGCGCCTGTAATCCCAACTGCTCGGGAGGCTGAGGCGGGAGCATCGCTGGAGCCCAGGAGTTCCAGGCCAGAGACACCGTCTCAAAGGAAAAAAAGAAAAAAGCGATGAAACGAGAACCCTCCATAGTCTCATCAAACCTCCTAGTTCTCCCAACCTGCACCCCTACCACGGCTTCCACCTCTATTCCGCATTGACGCACACTCTCACGTTAACAGGCCAGGTCTTTTCATACTCAGCCAGGTTAACAGGCCAGGTCTTTTCATACTCAGCAGCTCAGCCCACTGCTTAGCAGCTACCCTTTATCTGGCCCTTGTATTGCAAGACAGAAAGAGACAGCCTAGTCAAGAAGAAACCGGAAAATATAAGAATTCTAAAACTTTAGAGGCTGGGATTTCAAAATCATGGCACACAGCCCCATCCCATCCCATCCCTCCCCTCCCTCACACACACGCAGGCACAACCCCATTCCACAGTACAAAGGTGTTCGAAGCATTGTGGGCCATGCTTCAGAAGTGGCAGCAAAGGGAAAGGTTGTGCAACTTCTTCATTCAACAAATTAATTTCTAGAACCAGGACTAATTTCTACTCTTTAAAAAAAAAATAGACCTCAAAGAGGGTCTTCTCAGCAATTGATAATGAATTCAATTTAAGTTTTTAACAATCATTCTCTCTAAATTCCTGTGTGATAGCAAAAATTACCCTTACCTTTTGAGAATACAAAGGGTAAAGAGAAAAAGTCATATTGAAAATTATGGGTTTTTTGTAGGGTTTAAAAAAAATGATTTGGCCTAGTGAATGGGTCTGTATTTGTGTTTTTCTAATCCATAATGGAGATTTCAAAACCCTTTGGAAGAAATAGATGGACTTGGGTTGTGTTAGAGAAAAAAGAATTCAAGTTAAAAAAATGTGGGTCTCAGAAATAATTTGTTGGCATAGTTGTGATTATAAAAGTAAAATCAGATAAATTTAAAGACAGTATTCTTTAATGAATCTTTAGGTTCCATAGGCAGTTCTTACCAAGAAGATGTCGATTCCATTCTCCAATACCCACTACCGAATTCCACAAGGATTTGGGAATCTTCTTGAAGGGCTGACACGCGAGATTCTGAGAGAGCAACCGGACAATATACCAGCTTTTGCAGCAGCCTATTTTGAGAGCCTTCTAGAGAAAAGAGAGAGTAAGCTTTCTAAAATTAGTCATTTTTTAAAATAAGAAACTAAGCATTTGTTTATAGTAAAACTTGCTTAAGACCATCTCCATTCTGCAGAAAGCCTTTATGAGGCAGGGAGTTTCCGTTAACAGTTCTTGCTCTTTGAAACAGTATGTACCTCTTTGATATGTTTTCTTAAATTCGTTTCGTATTATCGAAGATTACCAGTTCATTATTCAGACCATCTTCATTGTATTTCTCATGGGCATGCAGTGTGGACGGTAACTGCAAAAGAACATACATTTCTTTGGAGAAATCAGTGGGGGGAGAAAAGATCATATAGTCTACCCTCGTCACGTTCCAGCACACTGTTCTTGTGCATCCCTGGCAGCTGACTATTATTCCTGAAATGAGTATCTGTAGTTTCCTTTCAATTTTGATTCCTTCCATTTGTAAGTATTATAAGTGCTGCAAAAAGAATTCTGCACTCCTTAAATAAACTGATATTCACTGGGGTATATGAAACTGTTCTGCAATAACGGCACAGACAACCTGCTTTGAAAGGCGAACTACCAGCTTGGAAACGTAATTTATATTCTTTATGCTAAATTCCATCCTGCACAGAAACCCAGATCCCCACTAACAATAACTCTTTGGTTGAAAGCCAAAGCAAAATTCCTTCACTCCCATAATAAAATTTATAAATCCCCAACCTTGAAGGTTTATGACTGTCAGGACTTTACCAGTTTGGTACTAAAAACCTATCCTTAGCCAGGCATGGTGGTGCGCACCTTTAGTACCAGCTACTCAGGGGCTGAAGCAAGAGGATCACTTGAGCCCAGGGATTCAAGACAGTAGTGAGCTATGAGTAAACCTGTGAATAGCCACTGCACTCCATCCTGGGCAACACAGTGAGTCCCCTTCCCCACTCCTGTGACCCCCGCCCCAACCCCCGGAAAGCCATTCTTGATTAGAATATCCATTTTGTGTAAATTCTTGTCATCATTACTTTTTATTACAGTATTCCAACGGAGTGGTAAAGGTGACTAGAAACAGGCACAAGCAAACAAACATTCAATTGTAATCATTTTATAGTGGAAGAAAACCTGGCACAAGGGTGGAATTAAAACAACTCCCATACACACTGCATAGCTCCACCCCTTGCTTTTTATGCCCTGCCCTCACAGAGCTCAAAATCTCTGCCAATTTCCTGAATGTTGCTGGTCTTTTCCATATCCGGTCAGTGGGAATATTTGTTGCACAATCTGAAACTTTAAATATTTTCCACTGAGCACATTTGATAAACTATATGTAGAAGAGGAAAGTTATTAAGAGAAATCATTTGGCAATAGACTTGGGGGCCTATTTGAGGGCAGAGGTAGGAGGAGAGTGAGGATTGAAAAGCTACCTATCAGGCATTATGCTGATTACCTTGGTGACAAAATTGTCTCTACACCAAAGCCCCTTAACACAGAATTTAACCATGTAACAAATCTGCACATGTGTCCCTTGAACCTAAAATAAAAGTTGGAAGGGGAAAAAATTATTTGGGAAAAGAGGTGAATTGTAATGAACATTAATTTTATTATAAGATTAACTACAAATTCATGCAGTAAAAGTCTTTAGTCATTTATTTAATTTTAGAACTCAGAAACATTCCATTATAAAAACATTTGCGTCATTGTTACTGGATCACAATAATTAAAGCAAATAATGATTCAGATTAATGGTCTCAGGACACTAGTTCTCTAATAAACAATGAGTAAAACCATTTGAAAAAATTGTAAGCACCACACCCAATTCCACCCATGTCAACCACAGGCAAATTATCCAGAAGATGTAAGTATCAGAATTCAGTCTCTTCAAAAAGGAAAAAAAAATAATCACTATGGACTTCTGGCTCAGTCTCCCACACAATGCAAGAATTCCCTTGCCAGCATTCATCATAGGTGGTTACTACTCTTAATTTTTATTTTTGTGACAGGAAACATGTTAGTATATGATTTAAATGGTATTTCAGGTCACTAGGAAAAAGGTGGACTTTTTATTATTTTAAGATAAAGAAGGAAAAAGATAAAATTGGATCAATTTCTTATATCATATACAAGGACAAATTCCAAATTAGTCGAGTATATAAATGTTTTTTAAAAGACACCATACAGATACTAGAAGAAAACATGGATGAATTTCTCTATAAGAGAAGAAAAAATTTTGCTAGCTAAATTGCTTTAATTGCTTCAAAAATTCGGAAGCAATTAGAGAAAAGATTGTTATAAATTGACAACATAAAAGTAAACTTTTACATGAGAAAAAGCACTGTGAGGAAAACAAAACTACAAAAGACAAAAAATATTTGCAATTTACATCCCAATGGGTTAATAGCCCTAATAAATAAATAGTTTGTAAAAACAGTATGTTATAGGCTTATAGAACCCAATAGAAAATATTGGCAAGAGATATGAGCAAACAATTCACACAAAAATGAACATAAATGGCACTTATGAAAAGATATTCAAACATCCATAGTAACAGAAGTCCAAATCAAAACTACACTGAGCTACCAATAACAACCCCTCCATTACATTGGCAAAGAGCCAATGTACTCTGTAGGCTGTGGGATAATATGCATTTATATACATTGCTGGTAGATAAGCAAAATGCCATAACTTCCAGGAGGGGAACTTAGCAATACCTACCAAAATTATATATGTATTTAACCTTTGACCCAGAAGTGCCACTTCTACACTTTTCAGTGCATCATCCTTTGTAGAAACAACCCAAATATCCATAGGAGGTTGAGTGAACAAACTATAATACATCTACACAACTGAGTTATATATATAGCTGTTTTCAAAAATGAGAAAGACCTCTTGATAATACTATGGATGATACTGTAGAGTGATTTTCAGGATATATTCAGTGAAAACAGCAAGATGGGGAAAAGTGTGCTTAGTGTGCTACCATTTTTTTAATACAAATGGGGGGTCTCACAATGTTGTCCAGGCTGGCCTCAAACTGCTGGGCTCAAGTGATGACCCTCCTGCCTCAGCCTCCCAAAGTGCTGGCATAACAGCTGTGAGAAACAACACCTGGCCAGTGTGCTATCATTTAACAAAAGAGATTGATATGAATATATATCTCTGTGTGTGTGTGTGTGTGTGTGTGTGTGTGTGTGTGTGTGTGTGTGTGTATTTGCCACAGGGTTTGGCTCTGGCTCTGTCGCCCAGGCTGGAGTGCAGTGGTATAATTGTGGATCGTGGCTCCACTGCAACCTCCCAGGCTCAAGCAGTCGTCCCACTTCAGCCTCCCAAGTAGCTGGAACTACAGGCATGCACAGACGCGCTGGGCTAATTTTTGTTTTTTGGTTTTTGGTTTTTTTTTTTTTTTGGTAGAGACAGGGTTTTGCCATGTTGCCCAGGCTGGTCTTGAACTCCTGAGCTCAAGCATCTGCCAGCCTCCGCCTCCTAAAGTGCTGGGATTACAGGCATGAAGCACCATGCCCAGCTTTGTTTTTATTTTTAAATGGAAAAGTAAATCTTTAAAAACTTAACATTTACCTTTAGGAGAAAGTGAACAGGGTAGATTAGAGAGAACATTATAGAAAATATCTTGATTTTGGAATCATAAAAGTTTACATAGTTATAATTTTAAATTTAAAATTGTTAAGCTACTCGGGAGGCTGAGGCAGGGGAATGGCTTGAACCCGGGAGGCAGAGGTTCCAGTGGGCCGAGATCGCACCACTGCACTCCAGCTTGGTGACAGAGCAAGACTCCGTCTCAAAATAAAAATTGAAAAAAAAACAAAAGTAGTTTTTAATTTTTATTTATTTTGAGACGGAGTCTCCCTCTGTCGCCCAGGCTGGAGTGCAATGGCCCGATCTCGGCTCACTGCAAGCTCCGCCTCCTGGATTCACGCCATTCTCCTGCCTCAGCCTCCCGAGTAGCTGGGACTACAGGTGCCCGACACCACACCTGGCTAATTTTTTGGTTTTCAGCATGTTACGGGTTTTCAGCATGTTAGACAGGATGGTCTCGATCTCCTGACCTCGTGATCCACCCCCCTCGGCCTCCTAAAGTGCTGGGATTACAGTCGTGAGCCACCACACCCGGCCAAGAAAAGCAGTTTCTAAAATGTAAAAGCAAAGTGAAACATATGAGCCTAACTAGTATAGATCGGGTGACATAACCACACAGAAAGGAATTATTTCAAGTGATATTAAAATGGAGCAATTTGACTGTACATGCCTAGTGCATATATCCTAAAAACAAAATGAACTTTAAAAAAAAAAAACCCTTAAGCTGCTTTCAGTAATCATTGTTAATCATATTATGGTATGGTTATTCTGAAATTATATATTGAATTTATGTATTGTAGAACAAAGCAAGTAAGGAACTAAGCTAGTGTTATTAGGAATAAGATTTTTGGTGTAGGAAAAATAACATACAATTATGAAGATGAAAGAGGTTAATAAAATCCTGTAATCTTAAATTTGAGTTGAAAAATATCAATGTAACCTCATGTTTTCTCTTTAAAAAATGAAAGAAGTATTTTCTAGCTCTGTACATTAAAGGCCTCAAAAGAATGACCAACCTAGTACCAGTGAGCACCCAGCTTCTAGGTTGTCATCTCTAAATACCATTCCTAGGAATGAGGGTTTCTTGGAGAACAAGCTAATTTCATGAACTTGGCAGGAAATATACAAGATTAGGCTGAACGTCTTGCCATACCAGAAAACAAGGAAGCTATCAAAGGTTGCTAGAGGTGTTTCCAAAGGACTCAGGAACATTTGAGCACCTGAATAAGCTACCACTGGACAAATGTTTAATAATTAGAGCATCAATAAGAATAATATGTGCATTGGATTGAAATGAATCATGAATTTGTGATGGTTAAAGAAAAAACTCATTGGTCATCTTGAGAGGATCCTAGGAATCCAACTGATTATTCTGAAAACTGATAAATAAAAGGAAAGAACTAAACCTTTAACCTTTCTTTTCTGTAAGAACTGTTCTTCAGAGTAACCAAACAGTTGATGAGAAAAAGTTTTCTTCAATGAGTACTCCAGAAAATAAAAAAGTATTGATCAAATTAGAGCATTACCATTTCACATCCCCTAAAGAAATGATCTAAGCAAAGATCATCAGGGGGCTGATAAAAATTATAAAAAGAGTAACCAGACATTATAAATTTTATGACAGAATTACACAGCACTACCAATCAAGTATACTTGCAGAAAAAAAATCAAACCATCAAACCTGAATCAGATCAAATCTATACATCTAGCTGCCAGTCTACAGGAAATTCAAAGGCAGAAGAACTTGTTAAAAGCCACCATGGGGATAATCAGAAACATCTGAACTGTGAAAAACTCCAAAGAGAAAATGACCTAATTTCATCAACAAATAAATTGCAAGGAAAGAATAGGGACTGGGGGATCTTCCTTTAAAAGAAATTTAAAAGACATACAAAGGGTTGTGCATGCCCATTTTCGGGGTCCTGATTTGAATCAACAAATAAACAGACAATGGAAGAAATTTGGATAGTTGACTGAATAGTTGAGGATATTAGGGAATTGTTAATATTTTTAGTATTTTGAAGTATGATAATGGTGTTGTGGTTATATTTTAAGAGAGTATATATTGAGATACATTGTGAAATAAATAATTGTAGATAAAATAACAGGATGCAAGGGAGGGGTTGGGTTAAAAATAATCAGAAGAAAGTGCAGAAAAATAATTAGAAGAAAAGGTTATAGATAAAATAAATCATGGGTTGATCATTGAATCTAGACAATATGCTTATGGGAGTTTGTTATCTACTTTTTAGCTTTGAAATTTTTCATAACATAAAGTTAAAGAAAAAATTATTTAAAAATAAATACCTCTCCTTGTCTATGTCAACTGTCTACATAATATACTTTATTAAAAAAAATTTCTCCCATCCTTCACTTTTCCAAACTTTCTGACAACTTAGCATTTAGTTTTATACGTTTTTCTGTGCTTACTAATACATGTTCTAAGTGTCTACATTTATATGTAAGTACTGGCATTTGTTCTTTTTCCCTTTTTATTATAAATTCTATGAAGGCAGAAATTATGTTTTTAGTGCTTTTCTAAATATCCCCAAAGGCTCATCCAATGTTCAGTTGGTTATTATATATTTAATAATCACGGGTAATGTCTGCAGTGCTAGGCTATGTACAATGTCAATAAGATTTTGGACTGTCAGTAAAGAACCTATAATTTGAAACGAGAAACTTATATTTGTGTTACTATTCTACATTTACCTTAATGAATTCAAGTAAATCTGAAGTTACTATATTTTTATTATTTAGAAACCAACTTTGATCCAGCAGAATGGGGGAGTAAGGTAGAAGACCGCTTCTATAACAATCATGCATTCGAGGTATGGTCCTTTGAAGCTATTGGATTTGGCTATTTCTTCTCTCTGTCAACAGCTAGTGATTATTAGGCTATCCCCAGAATTGTGAGAATTATGTGAGGAGGCATCACAAATAGCTTATTAAATCTTTTTAATTGTGCTGGGATTTTTTGATGAGAATATTTTTCTAAAGTATCTGAGTCATGTACAGATATTTCACTTAAGTTTAACAATGAACACCAGGAAGAAGTTGCTTAAAAGTTATGAATAATTATTTCATCATTTATTCTTCAAATGTTTTCAGCATCACAGTGCTAAATAGCAGGTACTCCACAAATAATTACTGAATTAATAGATGATATTTCATAGACCAAAACACTATTAGTCCAATTATTTCATTATCGTTGATAATTATATCATTGATACAATAGACTGGTTAGAATTAAAGATGGTAATGGTATAGTTTTTTCAGAGTCTGAGCCTATCTTTCTCTTCAGCAGCTTTACAAAGACAGCTTTCTCAACCAAGTTTCCTCAAAAAAATTAAGGCCTAAACCAAAGGCACTAATTGCATGTAAGGAATCGGTGTCCTGCTTTGTATCTAGAATGGTTCTGTTTAGGTACCATCCTTGGGAGAATTGAGAAAAGAGCCACTCAAAATATTCTCTGTGTTCCATGGTTCAGATAATGAATGCTGGTTGAGAAAGGCTGTGTGGTATCAGCGTTATTGGCATCAACTGGAAACTTGATAGAAATTCAGAGTCTCACAAGAAACATGAAAAACAAGGAAATATGACACCCCAGAATGAACACAACAATTCTCCAGCAATAGATCGTAACTGGAATGAAATTCTTAAAGTCTCAGATAAGGAAGTCAAAATACTGATTTTTAAATATGGTCAGTGAGGTGCAAGATAAATCTGAAAACCAATACAAAGAACTCCGTGAAACAATTCAGGATATGAATGAAAAATTTTACAAGGGGATAGATTTTTATTTTTAAAAAAACCCTAACATAAGTTCTGGAATTGAAGAATTTATTGAAGGAAATATAAAATACATTCAAAAGCTTTAATAATAGACTAGACTAAGTAGAACAAAAAATTTTTAGAACTTGATTACATGTCTGAAACAATCCAGTAAGACAAAAATAAAAAAGAATAAACAAAGCCTTTAAGACATTTGGGACAACATAAATCAGCTGAATATTTGAATTATTGGTATCCCCAAGGACAAAAAGATCAGAAGTCTTAGAAAACCTGTTTAATGCAATAGAAAACCTGTTTAATGCAATAATAGATGAAGGCATCGCAAGTTTAGCAAGAGATTTAAACATCTAGATATAGAGGTGCAGTGATTCCCCAAACAAATACAATGCAAAAAAAAAAAAAAGTTTTCACCACAGCACATTAGAATCAAACTATCTAAAGTCAAAGAGTGAATTCTAAAAACAGCAAGAGAAAAACATCTCATCAACTGTGAGGGAAACCCAATCAGACTAATAACCATACTTCTCAGCAGAAAGCTGACAGGCCAGGAGAGAATGGGATGAAAATTCAAAGAGCTGGAAGAAAACAACCATCAGCCAAGAATTCTATATCCAGCAAAATTAGCCTTCATAAATGAAGGAGAAATAAAGTATTTCCCAAACAAGCAAATGCTGAGGGCATTTGTCTGTACGAGGCTGACCCTACAAGAAGTCTTCGAGGAAATCCTAAACTTGGAAGCAAAAAGATGGCATTTAGCATCATGAAAACACATGAAAGTATGAAATTCACTGTTAAAGCGATCACACAAAGGAGGAACAGAAATGAATCAAATAGCACCACTACAGAATTCCACCAATCCACAGTGACAAACAGTAAGAGAAAAAGAAACAAATAATGTATAAAATAACCAGAAAGCAATTAACAATATGACAAAAGGAACAAAACTCTACATATCAATAATAACTTTAAACATATATGGATTAAATGTTCAACATAAAAGCTATAGACTGACTGAATAGATTTCTTTAAAAAAAAACAAAATGATTCAACTAAATGCTGCTAATAAGAAACTCACCTTACCTGTAAAAACATATTGACTGAAAGTAAAGAGGTAGAAAAAGATATTCCATGCCAACAGAAACCAAAAGCAAGCAGAAATAGCTATAATTATATTAGGTAAAACAGACTTTAAGTCAAAAACAGTAAAAAAAAAACAACAAACAAGTTTATTTTATAATGATAAAGGGATCAATTCAGTAAGAGAATATAACAATTGTAAATATATATACACCCAGCAATGGAACAACCAGATTCATTAAAAAAAAATTACTATGTCTAAAGACAGAGGTAGACTACAATACAATAATAGTGAGGGGCTTCAACACCCCACTGAAAGCATTAGGCAAATTATCTAGACAGAAAATAAACAAAGTAACTGATATCATTTGACTGTGTCCCCACCCAAATCTCATCTTGAATTGTAGTTCCCATAATCCCCACATGTTGTGGGAGGGATGCAGTGGGAGGTAATTGAATCATGGGGGGTGATGGTTTAATAAGGGGCTTTTCCCCCCTTTGCTCAGCTCTCATTCTCTCTCCTGCCACCCTATGAAGAGATGCCTTCCACCATGATTGTAAGTTTTCTGAGGCCACCTCAGCCATGCAGAACTGTGAATCAATTAAACTTCTTTTCTTAATAAATTACCCAGTCTCAGGTATTTCTTCATAGCAGCATAAGAACAGACTAATATAGTGATTTTTTTTTGAGGCAAAGTCTCATTCTGTCACCCAGGCTGGAGTGCAGTGGCACAATCTCAGCTCACTGCAACCCCCACCTCCTGGGTTCAAGTGATTGTCCTGCCTCAGCCTCCCGAGTACCTGGAATTACAGGTGCGTGCCACCACGCCCAGCTAATTTTTGTATTTTGTATTTTCACCATGTTGGCCAGGCTAGTCTCAAACTCCTGGGCTCAAGTGATCCATCCACCTCTGCTTCCCAAATTACTGGGATTACAGTCATGAACCACTGCTCCCAGCCTAATACAGTAAATTGGTACTGCAGAGAGTAAGGCACTGCTATAAAGATACCCAAAAATGTGGAAGTAACTTTGGAACTGGGTAACAGGCAGAGGTTGGAACCATTTGGAGGGCTCAGAAGACAGGAAGATGTTGGAAAGTTTGGAACTTCCTAAAGACTTGTTGAATAGCTTTGACCAAAATGCTGATAGTGATATGGACAACGAAGTCTAGGCTAAGGTGGTCTAAGATGGAGATGAGGAACTTGTTGAAAACTGGAGTAAAGGTCACTCTTACTATACAAAGAGACTGGCAGCATTTTGCCTCTTGCCTAAAGATCTGTGGAACTTTGAACTTGAGAGAGATAATTTACGGTATCTGGCGGAAGAAATTTCTAAGCAGCAAAGCATTCAAGAGGAAGTAGATCATAAAAGTTTGGAAAATTTGCAGCCTGATGACACAACAGAAAGCAAACCCCATTTTTCTGGGGAGAAATTCAAACTGGCTGCAGAAATTTGCATAAGTAATGAGAAGCTAAATGTTAATCACCAAGACAATGGGGAAAATGTCTCTAGGGTATGTCAGAGACCTTCACAGCAACCTGCCATCACAATCCTGGAGGTGTAGAAGGGAAAAATGGTTTCCTGGGCCAGACCCAGGGCTCCCCTGCTCTATGTAGCCTCGGGACATGGTGCCCTGTGTCCCAGCTGCTTCAACTCCAGCCCTGGTTCAAAGGGGCCAATGTACAGTTCAGGCCATTGCTTCATAGGGTGCAAACTCCAAGCCTTGGTGGCTTACATGTGGTGTTGAGCCTGTGGGTCCACAGAAGTCAAGAATTGAAGTTTGGGAAACTCCACCTAGATTGCAGAGGATGCACCTGGATGTCCAGGCAGAAGTTTGCAGCAGGTTCAGAGCCCCCATGGAGAACCTCTACTAGGGTAGTGCAGAAGGGAAATGTGAGGTCGGAGCCCACACAGAGTCCCCATTGGGGCACTGCCTGGTGGAACTGTGAGAAGAGGGCCACTGTCCTCCAGATCCTAGAATGGTAGATCCACCAACAGCTTGCACTGTGCACATGGAAAAGCTGCATACACTCAATGCCAGCCCATGAAAGCAGCCAAGAAGGGAGCTTTACCCTGCAAAGCCACAGGGGTGGAGCTTCCCAAGGCCATGGGAGCCTACCTCTTGCATCAGCACACCATGGATATGAGACATGGACTCAAAGAAGATCATCTTGGAACTTTAAGGTTTAATGACTGCCCTGTTGGATTTCAGACCTACATGGGGCCTGTAGCACCGTTGTTTTGGCCAATTTCTCCCATTTGGGGCAGGTGTATTTACCCAATGCCTGTACTCTCATTGTATCTTGGAAGTAACTAACTTGCTTTTGATTTTATAAGCTCATAGGCATAAGGAACTTGCCTTGTCTCAAATAAGACTTTGAACTTGAACTTTTGGGTTAATGCTGGAATGAGTTAAGACTTTGGGGGACTGTTGGAAAGGCATGATTCTGTTTTGAAATGTAAGAGCATGAGATTTGGGAGGGGCCAGGGGCCAAATGATATACTTTGGCTGTGTCCTCACCCAAATCTCATCTTGAATTATAGTTCTCATAATTCCCATATATCATGGGAGGGATCTTGTGGAGGTAATGGAATCATGGGTTGGGGGGTGGTTTAATAAGGGGCTTTTCTCTCTTTGCCCTGCTCTCATTCTCTCTCTTGCCACCCTTTGAAGAGGTGCCTTCCGCCTTGATAGTAAGTTTCCTGAGGTCTCCCCAGCCATGCAGAACTGTGAGTCAATTAAACCTCTTTTCTTTATAAATTACCCAGTCTCAGGTATTTCTTCATAGCACTGTGAGAATGGATTGATACAATAGCATTGGACTGAAACCTGACTTTAAGCAAATGGACCTAACAGACATTTACAGAACATTCTACCCAACAACTGCAGAATATGTATTCTTTTCATCAGCACATGGAACATTGTCAAAGATTGACCATATTATGTTAGGGCACAAA